CTCTGGGCTCTGCAGAGCGGGTCGCCTCCCCTGCCACAGAAGGCGTTTGCTGGGCCCTCAGCCTCCACCGAAAAAACCTTTCTCAGGGCGGCTCGAATTGGACGGGAGCAATGCGCTTGTGTAGTAAAAAATCAGGCAGATGAGAAATCTTCCTGTGCAGCCCCATGGGACCCATTGAAGCTGCCATTAACTAAGGCGGACTATTTAAATGCTCCCTCCCATTGTACACGCCGTAATTTATTGGCAGGGAGCTCCCAATGCATCTTTGCCCCAAACTGCCACCCTCACCGCTGCCCTTGCCTGTGGCCCCTGGCCCCCTGCGCAGTGGGGACACATCCAGCTCTCCTGCCCAGGCTGCCGGTGCTTTCACCTCCCCTTTTTGGAGGTGAGAATTCATTTGCCCTTTTTGCTGTGAAGCACATGCACTGTCAGGCACCACCAGCATCTCAGCCTCGTGGGCAAGCCAGCCCATGCCCCTCGGGGACGGGGTGCCCAGCACCCCCCTCCTGGCAGCCAGCTTCATTTTGGTCCTGGTTTCGCAGCTTTGGAGCCCATGCCAGGCTTGTGATCAAATCCGAGGACAGTCTTTGCAGCAAACAGGAGAGCAGGAGATACGGTTCCTTCTCATCTCTTGGCCGCAGAGCAGCTTCCCAGTAATTTAGTGAACAGCTATTTTTGTTTTAATAACTATTAGAGAGTCTCCCTGCAAACTCGGAAAGTGTGACGACAGCACAAAATGTTGACATCTACCGTCTCTGTGCTTATTGCCCAGCTCCCAGGAAGGTGGGAATGCCGTTTTCTTCAGGCTATAAATCCTTTAACCCTGGGATAATCTATCTTCTCTGTTAGTGTAGTGCCCTAATCCTGGTTGGAGCCTTTGTACACTACTGTAATACAAATATTTATTAGCTGGCTGAGCTTTCAAGGCTCTGCCTTCATCCTGATGGCATGGCTGTTTTTAGGAGCAGCACAGTGGTTTATGAAGGCTGGATGTGCTGTGGGAAGGGTTCGAGCACTGGGGGAAGATGCTGAAGGACCCTTCTCTGTGTTATTGTCTGCTCCTGCTCCCTATGTGCCATCTTTCAGGTGGCAAGCACCATGGGGACGTGGATTAGTGTCTCCTGTATATTCATAAACCACTTTGAACCACGTGGTCTTTAGTGGCCTGAGATTTCTAGGCACTAGTATAACAAAATAAAACAGAATTTACTACAGAGTGGGAAAAATCCCCTCTGAAAATGGATTTTTTGATAATGTTGTTCCACACTATCCTATAAGAGAGAGAGATATAAGAAATACTGGGGGGACTGGAGTCCCTGGGTGATGCTCTCATCCTTCTGTGTTTTGAGAGACACGAAGCTCACAAACTCTGTATTTTTAAATTGCTTTTTATTGAAATGTAGTACATTAGCAAACCCTAACTAATCGGTATACACTATTAACATATTGGCATATACCACGTAACTACAATACAGTGTTATACTTACACCAAAACATGTCAAAAAGTTCTGCTGCTGTCAAGCTACAATTTCACAAGGGCTGGAAAGATCCGATTGTCGGGAGGGCACCGCACCGCCCGCTGCGCCTGCGTCCCCGCAGCATCCCCGTCGCTCGGCCAGACCCCTGGTAGCTGCTGGCGTTTTTAGGTTACGTGGTCACACCAGTGTGGTTCACCTTCCAGCAAGCCAGTTGAAACAGACTTTTCATTTTACACGCACACAAATTGGTTTGTTGTTCGCTGCAGGCTCCCAAACCCAAAGGCTGGGGTGTCCCCTCTCTGCTGGGATAAAATGATCCTGTTTCGGTGGATTCTGTGCATAGTTAGCCATGGCCTTGAGCAGGTGATCCCGAACAGGCATGGTCATACAGAGAGGATTTTAGGATTTAAC